GACTTCTTCGAGCTCGAAATCGCCTTGAGCTCGCCTGCGGAGGTTTGAGTCTACACCGATCTCAACAATAGCTCCCATGACACCGGCCTTCATCTAGTTCCTTAATTAACTTCTTACAATGAGTACGCTCATCTCACAAAGAGTACCGCTAGCTTTCAGATATCTCCAAATTCTTGGAATATTCTTGCATTTTGTGCTTTTAAAGACGGCCAATTGGACTACCCAATTCATTTTTTGATTGTTTAGATGTGTCGTTTGCTATTGTCAGGTTATGAGAAGTTGTGATTGTGGAGCCCACTCTACTCGGTTTGGACCAGTCACCGGAATAATCATAGACAGATGAGTATGATGAAGCAGCTGGAATATTCTCATGAACCGGACCCATCTATTTCTCGAATACTTTCTGCGTCGATGTTCTCCAAACCTTATCACTCTGCATTCTGTCAGCCTCTCTCAAGTCTCCAATATGGCAAATTCTCCCGTTCTCTTCATAACCGTACATTTAATCCTCCTGTTACCTACGTCCTCAGCCGAGGTGCATAACAATTGCACTGATCTCTCGGCACTCCTTGCCTTCAGGGCCAGTGTCGGTGACCCATATCAAATTTTGTCAACCGAGTGGACCACCAACACCTGTTTTTGCACCTGGACCGGCATCTCATGTGACCGCACGAGGCAAAGAGTCATTTCCCTTAACATCGTAAACTTACCTCTTAATTTATGGCACAACATCTCCGCATATCGCGAACCTCTCCTTTCTATATTACCTCGATCTCAGCAACAACAGTCTTAGAGGCCCTATACCTGACTCTCTTTCACAGTTGCCTCGTCTTGAAATCCTCGCACTTGGCGGGAATCAGCTTTCGGGTTCTATACCTCCTGAAATTTTCGACATGACTGTTCTAACTGAACTGCACCTTGTTGGCGGTATGCTTGTGGGGGCCACAAGCTTTGGAGAATTGCAAAGTCCAGCGGCTAAAGAGTTGTTCACGAACCCATGTGCTCTTGGATTCCGCGTGAAAGGCTGAGACGAGTGGGAAACCGCGTGGATTGGAAACCGTGTGGGATGCTTTTGTCCAGTGGCGAAAAGAAGGCCCACCCGAAGACACAATAGATGTTTATATAAACCCTTTCCTAGGGTTTTGTGCTCTTTGAGCGAAGGCAGGGGAAATGTGAGGAACTCTGATTTTTTTTTGGCGGCTGCGAATTAATTCTCAGACGTGGGCGTGCCAAGCAGAGAAGAAACAAAGGATTGTGTGTGCAGTCTGTTTTTCTTTCTTGGGCAGCGTGCAGAGCCGATTTGAGAGAGTTTTTTTTGTGCTTGTGAGAGAGATATTTGTGTGAGGAAGAGAGATTGTTTGAGGGTTTAGATTGAGTGATTGTAAACCCTAGTTGTATTCTCCTCCTCTAATAGTAGATCTCCCCCTCCTTGCCCCGTGGACGTAGGCAGTTTGCCGAACCATGTAAAATTGGTTGTTTGAGTTTGTGGGTTTGTGGCCATTGTAATAGTTTTTAGGATCCCTCGACGCGCAGTCCTAGAGCTGACGAGAGGAAGAGCAAATATCCCACTTTGATGGGATATTAGGCTTTCAGATTCTTGTTCCCTTTGAGAAACAAGAATTCTTATCGATCTTTCTCTCTTATTGTGCACCAGAAACTCTGCCGAAATTTCCGCTGCGCACAACAAGTGGTATCAGAGCCCAGATTCCAGATCTAGGGTTTGGTTGGAGGAGTAGATCAATTTGGAGGCTCGTTTAGGGCTTCGTTGGTGTGATAAAGGTGGGATCTTTTGGTAAAAACTCTATCTTTTTAGTTTTGGATCTATTCTTCGTTCGTTGGTGCGTAAGATGTCGGGGAAAGAAGGTGCTTCGGGTGTCGAGGGTGGTGCTTCTGGCGGGAAGACCATTCAGAGTTTGAATATCCACTCTATGAAGATAGATGTGAAGAAGTTTAATGGCACAAACAATTGGATTATGGAGATGCGAGGTTTTGGATGCGCTGAACGCGCAGAATTTGGAGGATACCTTGGAGTTAGATGGCAAGCCAGATGAGATTGAAGAGAAGGTTTGGAAAAAGATGAATCGAACGGCGTGTGGTGTGATTAGGTCTTGTTTGACTCAAGATCTAAAATATGATGTGATGAATGAGACTTCTGCGAAGAAGATTTGGGAGATTCTCGAAAGCAAGTATTTGACCAAGAGTGTGGAAAATCGCTTGCATTTGAAGAGGAGACTTTATCGTTTCCAGTTGAAGAAGGGAACCTCCATTAGAGATCACATGAACCACTACACAAAGCTTCTTGCGGATTTGGCGAATGTGGATGTCAAGATTGAAGATGAGGACAAGGCGTTGCTGTTGTTGAGTTCCTTGCCCGACGAGGAATATGAGACCTTCGTTCTTACTCTGATTAATGGGAAGGCATCACTTTCGTATAGTGAGGTCACTGCTGCATTGGTGAATTATCAGCTTCGGAAGAAGGATAAGGAGAATTCGACTGAGTCGGTAGCAGAGGCGTTAGTCGCAAGAGGGAGGAATTGGAAGTCACAGTCTAGAGTAGGGCATCCTACAATTGGAAAAGATCAGTGTGCTTGGTGCAAGGAGACTGGTCATTGGAAGAAAGACTGCCCAAAGCTCGACGAATGGATGAAGAATAAGCAGAAGGGAAAAGGGAAGCAACCATCATCAGAAGCAAACATCGTATCGGATGGTAATAATTCTGACTCTTCTATTTATTCGCTTTCTATCAGTCCTACAGATAGCTATTCGGAGGAATCTGAATGGATGTTGGATAGTGGTGCGACCTATCATGTGTGCCCTAGAAGGGAATGGTTCTCCAGTTTTGAGAAGCTGGTGGATAGTGGTGTGGTGTACATGGCTGATAACCGTGCATGCCAGATCCTTGGGATAGGAAGAATTCGCATAAAGATGTTTGATGGGACTGTTAGAGAGTTAAACGATGTGAGATATGTTCCTTCTTTGAGGAAGAACTTAATCTCGATTGGAGCTTTGGTTGGAGAGGGTCTGAAGGTTCTTGTTGAGGACATGGTTCTCGAGATCGTGGAAGACTCTCGGATTGTGATGAAGGGCGTCAGGAGGAATAACCTGTATTACTTGACTGGAGGTATAGTGACAGGTGAAGAGCTGACGACTTCTGTTGATTCGACTAGACTACAGCATTTGGGGCTTGGCCATTCCAGTATTGATTCCTCGCATAGATTGAAAGAGGGTGTGAAGACCTGCAGTTTGAAGTCCAGTGAACATGTTGATGTGAGCAAGAAGACCGAGGTGAAGTGTGGCACCTCTATTCACCGTGCTAAGGGTCGTTCTGGAGGAGTTCACGTGGATGTTTGGGGGCCTTCCAAGGGGGCATTATTGGGAGGTAATAGACGTTTGGTTTCCTTTGTTGGTGACTGTTCTAGGCATGTTTGGGTTGCAACCAAATCCCCATTGGAGAAAGTCCTAGTAGTCTCTAACAGATTGAAGAAGTGTGTAATAGACAGAAAGGTGAAGGTACTCCATTCTGGTGGGAGGTACAAGATGGACCTATTTCTGTATTGGAGCCGAGCTCACGGCATTTCGAGACACTTCGTTGGAAAGGAAATCTTGGGGCAACTAAATAGGGTGACAAATTTGGAGAACCGTGCCTTTCTGGAGGAGGATCGGTGTTTGGGGTCGAGCAATGGTTTGCAGAAGAGTTTCTGGACAGAGGCTTCGACATATTTGGGTCATCCTATTAAAGAGTTGTCAACTGCTGTGATTGGAGGTAAAACTCCATTGGAAGATAGGTCTGGTAGTGTCACTTTGGTTGAGGCTTCGATGAGGAAGCCAATTGACTCTCAGCAGGTGGAGAGTTTTGGACAGACCTTAGAGGTATCGCAGCGGGTGGAGACTGATGCTACTCCACATTGGGTGGGGATTTTCCCACATACTCCAGGTCATTCTGCATTGGTTGGGATTCCAGCTGAGGTGACACAACGTGGAAGTCATTTGGATTCGGATGCAGATGATGAGTTGGGTTTTGAATCGAGTGCAGCTGGCAGACATAGTTTGGATATGACCATTGGTTCGCCTCAGGTGGAGGTGTTTGAGACCATTGGAGGTGCTATCAGCCGCAGAGTTGATGATATTGGAGAAGGGTTGCGAACTCTTCTATTGGATTGAGGTCGTTCGCGGCCATTTGGGTGAACTGGCGGTATGCTTGTGGGGGCCACAAGCTTTGGAGAATTGCAAAGTCCAGCGGCTAAAGAGTTGTTCACGAACCCATGTGCTCTTGGATTCCGCGTGAAAGGCTGAGACGAGTGGGAAACCGCGTGGATTGGAAACCGTGTGGGATGCTTTTGTCCAGTGGCGAAAAGAAGGCCCACCTGAAGACACAATAGATGTTTATATAAACCCTTTCCTAGGGTTTTGTGCTCTTTGAGCGAAGGCAGGGGAAAGGTGAGGAACTCTGATTTTTTTTTTGGCGGCTGCGAATTAATTCTCAGACGTGGGCGTGCCAAGCAGAGAAGAAACAAAGGATTGTGTGTGCAGTCTGTTTTTCTTTCTTAGGCAGCGTGCAGAGCCGATTTGAGAGAGTTTTTTGTGTGCTTGTGAGAGAGATATTTGTGTGAGGAAGAGAGATTGTTTGAGGGTTTAGATTAAGTGATTGTAAACCCTAGTTGTATACTCCTCCTCTAATAGTAGATCTCCCCCTCCTTGCCCCGTGGACGTAGGCAGTTTGCCGAACCACTTAAAATTGGTTGTTTGAGTTTGTGGTCATTGTAATAGTTTTTAGGATCCCTCGACAGGTCAGTCCTAGAACTGATGAGAGGAAGAGCCGATATCTCACTTTGTTGAGATATCCGCTTCAGATTCTTGTTTCCTTGGTGAGACGAGAATTCTTATTGATCTTTCTCTCTTATTGTGCACCAGAAACTCTGCCGAAATTTCCGCTGCGCACAACACACCTTTTGCACAATAATCTTTCAGGATCTCTGCCCTCGAATATTAGCCTTAATTCGATGCTTCAGTTTCTATCAGTGTCAGATAATCGCCTTACTGGTGGCATTCCATCCTCTCTTTCTCACTTCCATCATCTCCAGGTACTCGCTCTGTCTGTTAATGGATTCAGTGGTAGGATACCTCCAGAGATTGGGAAATTGCAGCAGCTTAGACTTCTAGCTCTTGGAAAAAAACAATCTCACAGGTGCTATACCGAGCTCTTTAGGCAACCTTACACAGTTACAAACTTTAGATATCGGCGATAACACCATACATGGCATTATCCCTGAGGAGTTCGGTGGTCTGCCAAATCTCCATCTCTTACTTGCCGCTGGTAACTAAGGTTATAACTGGCCCTCTACCAATGTGGTCTTTCAAATATTTCAACAATTAAAGTCATAGATTTTACCAATAACCAACTCCCGGGTCCACTGCGGGTGCAATTTGAGAGCATGCCTGACCTTAAGACCTTGTTTTTAGGAGGGAACAAGCTAACATGAGGGATGGTGTTTCTCGCCTCACTGTCGAACTGTAAGGTTCTTGGTATAGTTGAATTTGAGGGAAATGAGTTGGGTGGCTTCCTTCCAAATACCATAGGCAATCTGTCGAAGAAATTAAATTATTTTACTATGAACTCAGCTTGTGGAGTCTAGATATGGGCAACAATGAGCTTGCAGGAATAATACCATCAGAAATCGGTATGCTCGAAAACCTTCAATCACTAATCCTGAACAACAACAGATTACACGGGTCCATCCCATGGGAACTTGGTGGGTTAAAAAGGTTGAGCAAGCTATCCCTTGAAGCGAACAGTCTTTCTGGATTCACACCTGATTCCTTGGGAAATATCAGCGGGTTGCAACATTTGCTATTGGGTGCAAATGAATTATCTGCCAGAATTCCCAAAACTATTTGGAGTCTGACTGGCCTTATTGAGTTAAATCTGTCAAGAAATATTCTTAACGGATCATTGCCGTTGAGGATGGGGAACATCAAGTCCTTAGACATTTTGGATATGTCAATGAATCAGCTATCAGGTAACATCCTGAGTGCTTTCAAGGAGCTTCAAATGCTTAGATATCTCGACCTATCAGATAATTCTTTCGATGGTCTCATTCCGCAATCATTAAGTGAGCTTATCAGTATCGAAGCTTTAAACCTTTCGCACAATAACCTCTCGGGCATTATACCAAACTCCTTGGTCAATCTCCAATATCTCAGAAGTATGGACCTGTCTTTCAACAAGCTGACAGGAAATGTCCCAGATGGAGGTGTATTTTCAAATCTCATTGTTGCGTCTGTGTTAGGGAATGCTGCATTGTGTGGAGCACCAAGAATTGGTTTTCCACCTTGTACGACAAATGATGTGAGTCCCAGCTCAGCAACAAGAGCCCTTTTGTTTAATTATGTCCTTCCTGCTGCTGCAATCACTGTAATCTCTTTTGCTTTCTGTTACATGGTCCTAATATTTTTCTTTCGGAGGCAAACCAATAATCAAGCTCCTAGCGACACACCATCTCTTGATAGTCACAGATCAATATCATGCCATCAGCTTGTTCGTGCCACTGAAAACTTCAGCGAGGCGAATTTACTAGGACGGGTAAGCTTTGGCTCTGTATACAAAGGATGTTTAGATGATGGGCTCATCATCGCAGTAAAGGTTTTGAATTTGGAAGTTCAGGGAGCTTTAAGGAGCTTCAATGTAGAATGTCATGCTTTGATCGTGGTTCGTCATAGAAATCTTGTTAAAATTATCAGCACTTGCTCCCAGTTGAAGTTTCGTGCACTTGTTCTCCAATTCATGCCCAATGGAAGCCTCGAAAGATGGCTGTATTCCCACACCTACTGCTTGAACCTACTTGAGAGAATTAACATAGCAATTGATGTGGCATCGGCCCTCGAATATCTCCACCATCACTATTCTCAGATTGTGCTGCATTGTGATCTGAAGCCAAGCAATGTTGTTATGAATGAAGATATGACCGCGCACGTGGCTGATTTTGGCATTGCAAAAGTATTGGTTGGTGATAGCTGGACTGTAACATCAACAAGCAAGCGAGGAACAATTGGGCATATGGCTCCAGGTAATCAAACTCGTAAGATTTCTCCTCCAAATCTCATATAGTTAAAGGGTTAATTGTGGATAGACCTTTGTGCTATCGCTCAATTGCAGATACCACATGTAGTTCTATTGCTGCAGCTAGACCTCCTTCAATATTGCCCAACTACAAACAGACCACCAGAATGAAATTTTTCTTTTTTTATACTTGCTTCACCCTAAGAAGATTTATTTGTCAAAAAATAGTTCTCTCTTTCGCTTAGCGTAAAAGAGTGAAAAAAGTTCACTCAGTGATTTCTCTGCAATGATAGAAAATACTACAATGGGTCTATCCACAATTAAGCGACAGTGCATAGGATACATCTGCAATTAACCCTATAATTGACACTATCAATTAAGTTACTTCTTTTTTTTTTTAAAGAGTAAGCGTCAACGTCAACGGGAAGAGTTTCAAAGAACGCGGATGTCTATAGCTTTGGAATATTGTTGCTAGGGATTTTCACACGAAAAAGGCCTACTGACCCTATGTTAATTTATCGGGGAATTAAACTTGCGAAGTTGGGTATGTAACGCATCGTTTACCAATATCTTCAAAATTGTGGACTGCAATCTTTTAAAAGATGAGTGTGGAAACGAAAAGCCAAGTAAAAAGATGTAATCCATATGCATGCATGCTTATCTTCACTCCTAGAGGTGGGCATGATCTGTTCAAGTGACTTGCCAAAAGAAAGGCTTGAGATGAAACAAGTTGTTCCCAAACTCGAAAAGATCAAAATTGACTATTTATCAACGTTTCCTAATACTCAAATCCATATTGCTTTGGGTTTTTTTTTAGCTTGGTTTGTTTTGATCAAGAATCCTACTTACATTGGCTATCCCCCACCAACAGTGCATATTGGCTATCCACCACAAACCATCACTCATTGTGAATTATTATGTTCTCTACCCAGGTTTGGGCTTAAACTAAATCTCCCAACTGGAGCGATACGCAAACATCTTACAACATCGACAACACAAAAACAGTACAAGTTAACCAGCTTGAAACATTTACAGGTTTCAAGACAGCAAAACTGAAGGCATGAGAACGTGTAAATTAGCTCTCTTCACCCTCGACTCCTAATATGTCCATTTGGATTGCTCACGTTTGTTTCCTTGGAGAAACCTGCTTCCAAAAATGGAACAAACTGAAACCATTCATGGAAAACACCGGTGAAGCCTGCATGAGAATGGGTTTAGAGAGGGTTGTAAGATCCCTGAACCTGCAATAAAAGGATATCTTAATATAGCAGACACCAACATGCTACAAATTACTTTTTTTTCCCCCTCCACATGATGGATTCATTAAGACCTATAATATCACCATTGACTAGTACAGTGATTAAAGGGTAACTAAAAGGAGGGAACCAAAAATAAAAACTCGTCTAAGTGAATAAGATATAATTGACTTGCGGAACAAACTAATAACAACATAACAGGATCTATAACAATTTGAGAGCATTCTAAAATGCATGCATTCTGACTGATAGTCTGGCTGGTTAAGCAGTCTTTTAAGTTGCCATAGTGTAAGAGAAAGATCCCAAAAAAGAAAAGAAATAAAATCCAATACATTTACAATAACTGGAATTCTTTCCTCCAAGTAATTACCAGTAATTGAGGCTTTCCCCAGTTTATTTGCAGTCTCATTGAGTAACTCCAGTCCAGAGTATGCCAACAGATAAAGTGTATTAGAGAACTTGTGTGTATTTTTGGTTTCGAACTAACTTGAAGTTACATACTTAATTGTTTTATACTGCAACCAATTTTGGTGTCAAGTAATTAAAGTGGATTTACCGATTAATCAATTCTTTTATTCCAACATATCTTCTCACTGAGTCATCTTGTAGTTTCTTAACAAGCACATATTTAATAAAATCTCGACCTATTCACTACTTCTGTGTATTCAGCTGCCTAGTAACATACCCACATCATCATAAATTCCAATCAACCTATGGACCTTACTAAACAACATTTTTCAGAAAAAGCCAAGCCTCATATTACTACTTCGACAAAGCAATCCACAATTCTCATTTGAAGTGCTTCCTCATTGGCTAATATGTAGTGTGCAAGCATGTATACAAGGAGAAAAAAAAAATTATGGGGACTGCCAAACAGAATATAGCACCTATTTCACAACGTTTCATCTCGGACGGATTACTTGATACACATTGTGATTTAAGGAAATGGCAAAATATCCTACATGATGTCAGATCCATTGATGTGCTAATCCTAGTCACAAACCTCATCTAAACTTGGAATTGGGGGTCGTAGGAAGCCTCATAGTTAACAATCTTATGCTTCATCTACCTGGATCAAGTTTACAATTAGACACAAGGCAGTCGCTATTCCCATTCTCTCAATCAACTACAACTTAATAAGATCAAAACAAAAACATCATTGTGCTTTTTAATATTTTTCAAGTCACTTCCTTAGATCCTTCTGCTTAATAGAATTTTTTAATTGCAGCTATCACGGTCCCAAGCATAAATCTGGGAATCTCGAATATGATAACGAGTATATTGGCTCATTATGCACATCATCATTCACAACTATAATACAGAATCAGTTTTCAGAGAATGAGGATCGCCAGTTCATGAAATTCTTTTGTATAAATTGCCTATAAGGTTACATTACACCTTCAGATTGTGTCAACAATTTACAAAGCTTAGGTTCGCTTACCTGATGAGGGTCAAACAGGGTCATAGTGTTTGAGACTGCCGAACATGCTTTCAGTTTTCTGGAACCAGCAATATCATACCAAGAAACCAGAAAACAGAAAAAAAACTGTAGAAAATTGCAATCTTGTTTGACATTTCCATGAAAATTAGTTCTCACTTCTCAAGTTTAGCTAGAAGTCCCACCGTCCGGCAGTCTATTAGGAGTCTCACTGTTTGTCCTTGTCCGCGGAATTATGAGAGGCCTACAACAGACTAGAACAATCAATAATTCAAAAACGAACAACGTCATAACAACCCAGATAAAGATTGTTATTCTCCAGTTCCAAATCATCCTCTTCATAAGTGGAAGTTGTGACTCAAGCTTTAAAGACGCAGCATAAATCTCAGGGATACCAGCACCAGGTTTGTACTCTGCCCTCTGTTCAATGATAATTCTTACGCAGACAGTTGGATCATTTCCTTCAACAAATCCAGTCATTTTTATGTTGATAATTTGTGACTCTGAAGAGTAGCCCGCTAGTAAGGTACCTGTTCTCAAAAATGTCTCTACAAAGCGAATATGAGGACTTTTGAAGCGAAGCATGCATGGTTGGCTTGAGCTATGGGTAACTTTTCCGCTTGCAGATAGAAGCTCCGCTCGAACCTTCACCCAGTAAAATAGTCGAGCATTACCACAAAAAAGGACATATATAGCTCAAGGGAATTAAACAAAATGTTTGAAAAATGTTTATTAGTTTGCGCCTCAATTCAAAATATGTATGGCATAGAGAAGTAGAGAAGGGAAAGATAGGTTATCTATTATCTATTAAAATAAACTTCCTATGGGTTTTCTTCCATAGCAAGGAAAACAATTTATTTATTATCTTGATTCTCTTCCCTCCCACTTTCTTAGGCAATGAACATGGGAAATTATTTCTGAGAATGTTATTTGTAAGAGTGATCAACGAAAAAATTAAACAAAGAATTATCAAAAAAAGAATTACTACACGGGAGATTAAGCGCGTTCATACGGTCAGAATAGTGCATTCAGCAAACAAGTTGAGCGTGTTTCAAACATTACTGAACAACTTCTAGTAAGATAAGGTTAGTATACCGTATAATACATGCTAATAAAATCATTATTACTAGATTAAATTGCAGTGTCATGTATACCTTAGTAGCACGTATCATTAGCACTTATAACCCTAGGATTGGGATCTTGAGAAGGATATATTGCGAGTAATCCCCTTCCCCCGTGGATTGAGGGATGATAAATAATGCTAAAAAATGAGTTGGGGCATGATAAACTGCTGAAGGTACGTATATACAAGGGGGTCTATCTACAATTTACCTACAGCAACAGTCCAAATGCCGAAATGATACCTGAAACATACCCAGCTTCCTATTATAATCCGATTCGGGCAACACCAACGAAACAACCAGCTGCAATCTATGGTTCTTCTGCAGAGCTCTCGGGCCCAAACGCATCCCAATCCCATCCTTGTGGCCCAAAACTACACCCCGAGGGCAAATCTCCCCGCCAGTTCCCCCAAATCCTGCCGTCTCCCGACAAAACCATTCCAAACCGACGAGAACCTCCCCTCCACAGCATTCCTGGCCTTGTTCACGGTCCCAAGAGGGTCGGCCGCCGCCAAAAAGGAAACCTTCAGCAATCTGAAAGGGATTCCGAGGAAAGAAACGAGCAGGTTGAGCTGGAAGAGGACGGACTTGACGACGAACCCAGCAGCTGAGAACAGGAGCGACGGGACCTCCGGGGTTTCAACATCCCTTGGCAACAGCGGCCGATTGGCCAGGCGCCAGCGAGAGTTGCGACGACGGGTCGGGCCGTGGTCGGTGAGGATCCTGCTGCCGGACGGCCTCGGACTGGCGGAGGCGGAGGAGAGGGGGAGGCGGGTCAAGGGAGAGGGTCGATCGGGGTCCGCCATCGCCGTCGATGGGGAGGGCTTTTGATGAGCTCGGAGGAACCTAGGGTTTCGGCCTTGTTCTTCTTCTTCTTCTTCTTCCGGGGTTTCGAAGGAGTCCAGGGCATCGAAGAAGGAGATCGGAGTCGGGGTCAGTTGGATCCATACACAGAAGAGACGGAGAGAGAAGCGCGTGTATAATGATAGTCTTGAGAGGCGTGCAAAACTCGTGAGCCTGGGTCACGAGCGTTCAGTTGGCATCCAAAATATGGGATCAAGTGAGGGGACAGATGAGGTGTCCCCTCCCTATTGTATAATGAGTTGGCCTGTCCTCTTCTTATTGTATAATGAGTTGGCCATGCCAACTCATTATGCAATAGGGAGGGGACACCTCACATGTCCCCTCCCTTGGTCCCATATTTTGGGTCCTTAAATCATTTTCCCTTTGTTTAGTTTACCAGTGAAAATAGTTATTCCTGTTTTTTTTTTGGAAAAATGTGTTAAGACTCCAAAAAAATAAAGAGGATGCCATCAGCCCCACGTATATATATATATTTTTTGGTGCCAAAGCCTCAAAGACATGAATGTATGATGTTTCAGCCCCTAGTTACATTTCCAATGCAACACAGTGAGAAATTTTTTTTACAAAACCCAAAACTGCCCTTAAACCATTACCCAAAAACCGTCTGCCCTGTCTCACCTCTCTTCTCACGCTCAAACCAATCCTCTCCTCGCTCCTCTCCGCCACCACGTCATCATCAACCACCTCCCCCTCCCTTCCCGCAAAAAACATCGACACCCAACTCGCCTCCTCCCTCGACGGCGGTGACAGAAACAACCCCGACAAGCAAACTATCTTAAACTGCCAGACGAGGGTCACGGTGACGCCGGAGGGCTGCTGGAGACAGATGCCAGCCATGGGGCTTGCTGAAGCGAGGACGGAGATACCGCACTGGCAGTGTTGGCTGAGGGAGGAGATGGCGGCGACGAGGTTGGTGCCAGGGGGAGATCTCGATGAGGGTCGAGCGGAGGGAGGTGGGGATTTCGCAGGTGATGACGATGGGGGGGGGCTTAGGCTTGTTCTTGGAGTCGGAGGGGTGGTCGCCGTCGAGGGATCAAAGCCTAAAATTAGCTGCACATCTGCATCAAAATGTTATAGGACCAGTAGGTCAAGGTCCCTTATGTTTCATTTGAACCAAAAATTGTGAGGAGGTTTGTCTATTTGCCCTTGTTAAATTATGGGAAAAATCGCATTTTGGTCTCTGTATGCTCTCTTCAGGTGGGAAACTACAGATTGTGTTATTCATGTGAGGATACAATGGTTTAGAGTCCCGTAACAATTTGTAGCTTCCATGCATTGCATCGTGAAAATTTAATTGTTATTGCAGTGGTGTGGTTCGTTGTTGACTGACATGTTTGGTAATTAAGTTACTTTCTCTATTCCAGATGTTTGTTTGTGGTTGTTTC